ATATATATATATATATATATATATATATATATATATATATATATATATCTGTGTAAAAAATGTGTGCGAGTCTCTGTTTTATCCTCTCGTGATATTCGGCAAAATTGTTAGCAAAATCGTTCGACTGTGTTCTAAGCAATGATTTTGTTGTAACGATCAGCCAAAAGTCAAATCGACGATGAAATTGTCGAACGCTTTGAAAATGGAAAATTCTTGCTTAGAGAATGTGCTTGCTTAGCCACTGTGAATTTTGAACATATGTTGCTTCCGAAATGTAAAATACACGAGGAACACTAGAGAAACTGAATTGTGCGTGATGAAAAACGAAAAGATTTCTGACGGCTTCGCCTTCGGCCGCGAATACACACAGCTACGATTCGTGCCGTCCGAACGCAACTAATCGCAAATGTCACTTGCACGCACTGACATTACCATGCGTACGGTATATCACTTTCACGCATGTCCGATTCAGTTCAAGAGATCTCAATTTAAGATTAAATCCCGTGGAATTTGGAGGGTTGCACAGTATTTCACACTCCCTTTCGCGGCCTTTGCACTGCGATACTCGCGTAACTCGCGTTTCTCCGATCAGATAATTTATAAAGCGATCGATCGTCAGTGCGCTCGAACTTGCTAAAGAATCGGACAACACCGTCGAAGCGATGACTCGGCCAAAGAAACGCATGCGCATTAGATTTCAACATTGGCTGACCGCGTTAAAAGCAGAGATGTATCATCTTCAGGACTGTGCTACGGCAGTTAGTTGCCCCGATAGACTAGACTGAAAATGTATTTTACTTTTATAAATATATTATTCGGCAATGAGGAAAAAAGTTACAAGAAAGTATCTTTGATCGAGTTTGAAGTCAATTTTTTTTAAAGTATATTAAGTGAAAATGAAAATGAGAGAAGTAAGAAAATTTTGATGTAGGATTCTCAGTTTTAGGATCGTAGCACCCAAAAAAGTTTAAACGGTAAGACTTAAGCAGTAAGGAAATTAGTGTTATGAATTTGCTATTGTTTATGTTTATATTCTCGACTATGATTGAACTGATTCACTTACTGCTTAAGTTTTACTGCTTAAATTTTTTTGTGTGCCATAGCCCTTACCTGGCGGAGAGAACAATTATCTGTAATCAATCCATTATTTTTAAATTTCAAAACTTTACGTACATAAATCATATACATAAAATAAAAAATAACTAGAAGTATAAATTGTCCGTATTGTAAAAAATAAATACAAGAGAAATCGTATTAAGGAAACAATATTTAACACGCATATTAATGATATGAAAAATATAAAAAAAATTTAGTGCAATATTAAATGCGAAAAATATGTATTCTTTTCGCAAATATATAAATATTTTGTTATTTTTTCCATTATTGTTTAATTTGTTTTGCAATTCTTCGAGTAATATTTAGCAAAGGGGCCTGAAGTTAGTATTCAGCTAAAATTACTTTAAGTTTAACAATAAATAGCATTACATAATCTATTAAGTTTTTTATATTTAGTTTGCAAAAAGCTTTTTCTTCTGAGTAAATTACGAATTGGCAAACAGTAATCTCGATATCTTAGATCTTATTTCGATATCTAACAAAATCGAAATTTCATAAAAAAAGATCTATAATGCTCATATTCAAAGCAAAATTCAAAATATCTTTGCAGAGGATATTTATTGTAATATAAAAACCATATATAAACCAGAAAGCATATTGATAAGTCTTACGATATATATATGTTATGATATAAAGTATATGATATAAAGTATATTTGTTATAATGTAAGTAAACTTTTAATGCTGTAATTTATTTTTCTTTTCTTCCCAATCCCATCTTTCTTCTCCTTTGCGGAAAACTTTCATTTGTGAGTTCTTATCGATATTTAGATAATTATAACTTCCACTTTGTGAGCTTGTTACCGGTAACCACAAATTTGTGATAGGCGTTGGATTTCTAGATCAGATAGAGAATTAATTATTATTACTTAATTAATAAGACTATAATAATGTGATTAAGACAATATATATAATTAACAAGAAGAAATTAAGCCTATAATACCCTGTTTTTGCGAAATCTGTCCACATTTGTGTTAAAGAATTTATCATCTTATAATCTTCCGAATCAGGTGTAGGTGGTGATAAGCCGAAATCTTTCATCATGTTTGCATAAAATAAGTAAGATAATTCCTCGGAATGACCCACACCTATAAAATATATATTCTCATTTAATTTAACCACTAATTTTTAAATATTCTAAAAGATAATCCAGTGTTAATTAAGTGCTTTAAAAAGAATTTTTATTATTCTAAAATCAAATATTTAGAAATATATATTGAAACATTTTATATAGTGACTATGATATGAGCGTACTTGTCTTCCTTACGATTAAAAATTTTTAAATATTTAAATAGTTTTAAAATAATCAGTGACAATACCTGGGAGAGTAATATTAAATAATTTTTTCACAGGAGAAGTTTCACTGTCATATGAAAATTGATACAGATATGTCGCATTGTTATCGTTCTTATTCAGCTTTGTCTGAATATCTGTTACCTTCATCATGGAACGATAAAAGAACTCGTCGCCAATAAAATTAGCATAATTTATTAAAGTTTCTTCTGACACTGCTTTGTCACCAAAATATAAAGATCGTAATTCTTTCACTGTGATCGGTATCTTTGACAATGCTGCTAAAACATTTGGCAATACGGCTATTTGAAAGTCTGAATCAACTTTTTTAAGTTCTTCTTTACCTGTCTCTGAAATAATTTACGGACATATTAATACTGACCGTTATACAAATCGTTGCATGATAAACAATGTATGTTTTAATTTCTACTAAGAAATTAATTAATTGAATACATCTATCCAAGAAAATCTATTGTTAAAACATTATTTAAAATTTCCCATACAACATAGCCCATTGAAAAATATAAATAAATAATATAAATATATAAATAAATAATATAAATAAGTAATATAAATAAATAATATCTATATATCTACATACAAATGTTTATCGTAAATATTATAATAAATTACTGCATGATAAATTTAATAAGAAAGCAGACTAGTTACAAAATCTATAATAAAAGAAACGAGATTTTAAAATTATTCAGATATATAATAATAATTTTCATATGCATTCAAAACTAATAAATTATTGAAATGTATTAAAACTGTAGCTTTACATACAATATTACTCATGAAAATTTTATTAAACATAGTTAACAGTATGTTAAATATTAGCTCGCTATTAAGATTGTCAGTTTTAACAAAACATATGTTATGAAAATTCGGCCTGATGGATAAAGGATAATATACCTAATATATCTAATATATTTAATGAAGACAAAAATATATTTACGTTTCAAAACATTACTGCATACAAAGAAAATTCCCTCGCAATTAGTAAAACCTAAAAGTAATGGTACGTTAATCCTACGGTGTATAAACGTCTCTAGATTTTCCGGAAAAGCTGGATTCGATGACTCATGATCCAAAGTAGGTGTAAATGCCAAAACATATTGTTGACGCTCCTAGGAAAGTATATTAAAGAATACATTTCTTTATGCAGTCTACAATGGGAATATATATTTTTTATTACTCTAATTAAAGTACTCTAATTAAATATTCGGATAATTACGACTTCTGTCAAGAGAGACTTCTCTTGAGTCTCTATAAGCTTTTTTGCATCGATCGTTTTGAGAAATTCATAAGCGACTTTCGGATCTGCAGTCGGTTTTCCAAGTTTTTCGGCAAGCAGAAAACCTTTATTCATTGTGTGTGGTTTTCGTTCGCTAACAGCCCAAGGACTCGCCATATCACCACTTTGCAATATTGCTTTATGAAATAAACCTGTCATAACGAATTAGATTGGTATAATGATTTGCTTTATTATAGAATCTTTCTTTTTTTTTTTCATCTAATTTCTTCTAA